ACCTCATGTTGTCAAAAAACATTTTTTGATAATTGATATATTTGTTAATGTTTTTTAACATGACATTGTGTATAGGTGTATTTATGTTGTTTCAATTTATATTCTTCATAATGTTTTCTGCTTGCTCTTTTGATGTTTTCTAATATTTCTAAAACATATAATTCTCTTTTCCGTATTTGATACCAGGTTATGTTGGGGGAGGCAGTCATGCCCATAAAGGTGGCGGAACAAACCCATTGTGTTTACCCGAAACGCCTGAATATGATGACACTTTAACAGTAAATGGTGGCTCTCGTTCTCCGATATTCGGTGCTGAGTATGAAACCAACACTTACAGTCCTTTCAGTTACGTACACGATAGCGACACGGTGTGTGCCTTGTGCCTTGCGCGTGGCAGATCAACCACTTCGATGATTCCTGCTAAACGCACGTGTCCTCCAGGCTGGACTAAAGAGTATGGAGGTTTGTTGATGGGAAGTCACAATGGCCATTATGGTCATGATTTTCTTTGTATTGATAGAAATCCTCAGGGACGATCTGGTTCCTCGGCAAGCAAAGACGGCTTCTTGCTTTATGCTGTCGAAGGAACATGCGGCTCGCTCCCTTGCCCACCGTACGTTAGCGGGAAGGAAATATCATGCGTTGTATGTTCCCGTTAATAATAATGCCTATAAGTAGGCTATTATGTTCTTTGGCATAGGCCTATCTCAGAAATAGCCTTTACTGCAAAAAAAATATATTATGCTTAAAGGATGAATTTAAAATTGACGGTAGAATTAGATGTCAAAATATTGTAGAGCCTTCATTTTAACTTTAATTTAAAATTACTGAAGGTTAGGCCTCCGTCTCATGGGTTTAAAATTACACAGCAAAAGTAAACATTGGCACTTGCAGATAGTTAATGTTATTACATGATAGATTTCTTTCCCAAATGCGTGGTGAAGACAAATAATATTGAATTCATTCACTTATTAAATCATGATGTTTGATAGGCCTAATTATATGAAATAGAATGGTTTGATTAGTGTCTTAATAAAGTTTGCATTTCAAAAGAATATGAATTTTGTCTCTACAATCATTGGGTCATCCCACACATAATCCATCATCGCAATATTTCGCTTGCGACATTCTTCTACAAAGAACATGATTTGATAAGTGATTAAAGTAAATAACAATTTAAAATAAGGATTAATATTTATAAACGTTAATTGGTCAATACACAGTTCACTTTTAAATCTAGAACACATATAGTCTATTTTCCAACAATCTCCTTAACCAATTCTAATAATCGATATTAAGGCAACACAGCTTGTAGTTGTAGGCCTACATTTCGAGGAAAATTATTTCCTACCCCTTGATTAAACCATGCTTAACAAGGGCCGATCCAACATGGGGATGGACGAGGGCACGTTTATTTACCCGGTTATGACACTACACTTTTTATTTCAACGCATAACCAATACCATGTATTGAAATGAGAAAATAATAGAATACACACCAAAGATCTTATAAACACAAGATAGCGTTCTCCACGATTTTACGCGTAACAAATAGAAGCCTCGATTTGGCACAGAAAAGTAATGGGTAATGGAACAGGGCGTCCTAGTCGTTACCATGGATCTGAGATAGGGTGTTCGCGTTACGTCAAAAGTTCGTACCCAGTATTACAGTACCTTAATTTGTTACTTATGTTCTAAATAGATGGTGCATTGTAAATCGGATGCTTCTAATTGTTACGCGTAAACGTAAAGTCGCGCAGCATACGCTATGGTCAGAGCGGTCAAGAGTTAGCAAGAGGGCGCCATTTATGTGTTATCTTGTGACCTTTTGATACACACACACACACACACACAATGTTTCGTTATGCCATTTCTGCTCATGCTCCCTAGTAATAGTTTGGTGCCTCCCACCGTTTGTAAAATTCTGGATCCACCCCTGCTTCACCAAACCATAATTAAATAATAATGATCGAACATAGTTTGCACAGCACTCATTGCCGAGATAGGCAATGTAAAACTCGTTATTCAACTTTAGGATTCGTAACCAGTCTTTGAAGACATTAGGCAGTCTCATCATTATAACGCTCTGTCCTCACTATTCAACAATTTTTTTCTTGCATGGCCATATATAGTCATGAAATATGAAACACCGTGCGTTGTATGTTCCGGTAATAATATGATGTCACTCCACCACTAAATTCCTAGTGACCCGCATAGGCTACCCCCTAACCTTACAAATACAAAATAAATAGAGGACAGTCGTCTAGTTGTTAATTTATAATTTAAAAAGTTTAATGGAATTTGGAGTGCATGTAGCAGGGTCAGGAGGAAATGAATAAGCCAATTTAAGAGAAAAGGAATAAAGACAAAAATGGAGAGGTTCCACCAGCGACAAAAAGACACACTAAGACGTACTAAGCGAAATGATGATGATACTAAGAATCAAAATGTTTCCCGACCAAAAATTAGAAACGATTGCAGATGATACGCAGTCAACTCAATTCCTACGAAATAAATATAATAAAATGAACGATATTATGTGGTACCAGCACACTTTAGTCGGCAATAAATTTTGCGTGCTGGGTTATTAAGTACAGTATCTCAACATCTAGATAATATGAAGCATAGCGGAGACTAACCAAAAACGAACAAAATGCAAAACGTGTTAACATAGGCGGGCAACTTTCTTTATGCCTTCCATATATATTTAGAAAATATCCTTTAACACGGCCCAACGCCGATTCACCATTAAGTACGGTAATAATTAAACTGAGCATAAAGCGAATGTATAAAATACACTTGAAAAGATATGATCACTATCTAAAAAAAAAAAAAAAAAAAAAAAAGTAGGCTAAGTGCATTCATTTGGTACAATAGAAGGGTATTGGTACCAAATGATTTGAGACAATATCTCGTACGACGAGATAATGAAGATATCCTGTACGTACGAGATGATTTCATGTCCGTTCGATCCAAGATCTTGTACGATTTTATCCATTTAATCTCTATTCCTTTATACGCTGTTTCACAAACCAATGAAGTTGATGTTGTCTCACTCAGTATCAAATAGGCCTAGACATCACCACCAATGCGTGGAGACGGATTAATCCATCATTTAAGTATTGTAACGAAATATTCCTAATGATCAATGAGTACAATTGAATTGGCGGCGGAAGGTGCGCCCCTCGCTGTGAAAGAAGTACTGTTATGATATATTTTCCTAATTTCATCCCATAAGTTTTGTTTATACCATTTACTCGTTATTTTTGTAATCCAGCATTTATATTCGCAAACATATTTTTTCGGATTGATGGAACTTCAGACGACCTGGACTCCAGCTATATTTTTGACTTATTTTTCTGACGGAATTTATTACAAACTTGTAACTTTTATAGGTATTACAAACGATACAATAGTGCTGTTACTGTAATAACCAAATTATGAGGCCTAATGGTGACATTTGATTAGTTGCATATTTATATAGGTTTACCCCGGAGGCACCTAAGAGGGAACCTGGAAGTGAATGAGGGGCCTTGAGCTATTTTGAACAGCAGCGAAGGAGGAACGTCCAAGATAGGCCCAAGCTCTGCAATACACTTGAGCCAGCACACAAGCTATAGTTTTTAAGGCCTGTCCAGATTATCAAATTTTAATGGACAAAAAAAAAAACCCGATATCCCAATATGGTCATACTGTAATGACACTGTCTCTTATACACATCTAGATGTGTATAAGAGACAGGAGCATAAAGCGAATGTATAAAATACACTTGAAAAGATATGATCACTATCTAAAAAAAAAAAAAAAAAAAAAAAAAGTAGGCTAAGTGCATTCATTTGGTACAATAGAAGGGTATTGGTACCAAATGATTTGAGACAATATCTCGTACGACGAGATAATGAAGATATCCTGTACGTACGAGATGATTTC